CGGCCGGCGGTCCGCGGTCCCGGGCCAATGGGGGGGGCAAGAAGCCGCAGCCAGCACATCGCTCGCCCGCGCCGCTTCTCACCGCCCCCATTGGCCTGGAACGGCGAACCGCGGCCAGTAGGGGCCGCGATCGGCCGAACCTGCCGTGTCAGCAGGTAAATAAAACTGGCCCGGCCCGCCAGGGTGCTTACCCTGGCGAGCCGCGTGTCGAACGTTGCCGATCCCTGATATACAGTGTGTTTTTGATAGGTGGCTTTTAGCGTCCATATATATTTTCTATAGAAGCCTGAGGGCGGGTTTTAAAGCCACCTACATTCCAGTTGCCATCAAATGCAATGTGTGAGGTGCTGGCTTGGACTTCTAGGATGAAGTCCTGACTCTCTTGAAATCAGTGGAAGTTTTGCCAAAAGACAGAGGATTTCTCTAATAGGGTTTTTATTTGCTAAATGTTGGAGCCTCTCGACTATAGTGGAAGTCCCACAATGCACTTCTTGTTCTGTTGTGATCCACATTATTAATTAATAGCATTCATGGCTGAAGTCTATTTAGACACACAACAGTAAATCACATTCAGCAGCAGGACAAAACTCCCTGCTCTGACCCATTAGTGCCCTTCTCTAGGGGATTCTCTCCAAAGTTGAGAGGGCAATTTAGTCTCTGTTCCCCAAACCAGTTCAGTTCACATGCTAGTGCTTCGAGCATTGCTGATAACTCTCTAGTAGATACTGGACTGAGTCCACCTGTGACCATCAGATAGTAACAAACTGCACTTATTACTGACCTGGGGCTGGAGCTGACCCAGTGATCGTGGCTCCTAAACCCCCATTCCTGGTCACAGTTTGAAGTGAAGAAAATCTATTCTTGTGGCATATCTATGCACCTTTGATAGCAGTTTTTGCCAGAAAATCAATAAAACAGAGTCCATTATAAATCCCTACGGCTTACTACAGGCTGAAACCTGACCTACAACATTTCAGCACAAATTCAATTTGCTTAACCGAATTTGGGTATTTTAAAGTTCTTTTGGGGGGGGGAAGGGAAGCATTGCAACCACCCAGAGGCATTGCCAATGTCCCATGTTGCTATCGCACAAAAGCCTCTTTAGATATTCTATAAAAAGTGAAGTCCACCTGTTACATTTATACAACACTGATTAATTATATCAAGAAGATATTTGTCTTTGAACCTCATTTCTCTTGTTGCATATTTAGCAAAGTATATTAAGTGTTAAGATATTGTCAGTGTAAAACCTAGTGCAGTGTCACATAAATCTGTCGGTTTTGAAGATGGTGCACCAGGGCGGAGAAAACAAATGATGCATGCAAGTACCAGATGAAATAATATGATCATTTCTCATCTTGATTTCTCAGGCATCCTTGGAGTTTTATTACAGTAAAAGGAAACCCTTCCTCTTCTGTTGAAGACCACATTGAATATCTAGGTAATGCAGAAGCAAATGCTTGCTTGAAATTGCCTGGGCAAGTTCCTCCCTGGTATAATTCCATGGAAGTCAGTATAATTACGTAAGGAATAAATTTGTTCCATGACCTTTGTACTGTCTGACACGACACTACATTGAAGCTGTGAACAGGAGTCTTACCTCCTTACATTATCCCCATGCTGTGATGCAGTTTGATGGGATTTGACACAGGCCACTCATACACAGAAATACAGGACCAGATTCTCAGCTAGTATAAATCCGTATAGCTCCATTGAAGCCAAATTATGTACAGGGCTGTCGCATCTTACGCGCATTTAACATGCGCGATTTCAGCTTTACGCGGTCAGCAAAAACAAAACAAAAACAAAAAAAGAGAAAAATAACAATTTTAATACTGTACCTGTATTGCGGGCGATTCCGCCCGTCATTACACTCAATGTAATTTTGACTATACGCGATTTTCGCTTTACGCGCTGACTGTGGAACGTAAGCCCAGCGTAAGATGCGACAGGCCTGTATCCACCTTTTTGACATCAATCAGTGGAACGATCTCAGTTAACATGAGATGAAAATCTAAGGCATGATATTGTACCATGAGAGTCAAAACCCTGCAGTCTATACTAGTTTTTGAGGCTATTTGCTGTGGAATACCCTAGTATTTTCTAAATAAAGACAATGACCTGGTTTGTCACAATGTAAACTAGCAAAAAAAAAAATGCAAAATAAAACAAAAAACGTGATTTTCTTAATTCACTTGACTTTTTGAGAATTCCTCCTCTACAAAGGCAAAGTCTGAGCAGAAGGAAAGAGTCTGAAAAATCATTCCAAGAGCAGGAGGAACAATTTTGCTGGAAATTTTGTGGGCAATTACTGAATCTGCTCTAGTCTCCCAGGAGACACAAACACGGGCTTGCTCCATTGCCTATTAAGTCTTCGCTTCTATCACTTGCAAACCATGAAATTGTTAATAATTGTTTTACAGGACACAAGGGATCAGCTGTGGCCAAAGTATTCAAACTATTCCAGGCTGAGAATGGAGAGCATTTTAATGTGTCTTCAACCAGTGAGTGGGTTCAAGGTGAGCCATCTGTTTGCCTGCTAGCAGAGTGACAGCGCTTAGACCGTGCTAATCGCTCTTTGAAATATTCCTTTTTACCACACCAATCACATTTCCTCTCTTTAGAAAGAGAGGCTCTGATATCTGTTAAGGTTGCCTTTAATCCAAACAAGAACACAAGCAACATCTCTATTTCCAACCCCTGCAAGACTCTCTGTAATTTGAATCCTTTGTCTTTTTTGCATTGAATGTGACAGTCCAGGTGTTAAGGCCAAACCAACATACATCCTCTTATTTCTTTTGATTATGTGGTCACTGCTTGTCAGAATGATGTTTCAGTTAACAAACAGCAACTGATTACAAGCTGACTTGAATATACTGTATATAGAGGTCTCTAGGGAGAAGGGCACAATTCAAGTTCCACAGCTGTTAGAAATGCTCATGCTACATACTCAAACCATGTAGCTTTTAAATAATTCCATGCTCCCTTACCTTGCTACACTTCATAGCATCAGTAAAGCAGCTGCCAGACTGGCAAGGAGAACCAGGAACTAGGCAGTTATTGAAGTAACTTGTTCCTAGTATTTGAGACTAAATTCTGGTAAGTGCATTTTTGCCGCATTAAGTATGGCTTTCTATAAAACGATCTTTCCTGTTTGTCTCCAGATGTAGAATGGACAGAGTGGTTTGAGAAGCCCAAAAAGGCAAGATCCAAAGACACGGAGAAACTTTCTGACCTCAGAGCGGCAAACCCAGGCAAAATCTGTAGTCACCCCCTTGCTATCCAGGTAGGACAAACTCCCCATTTTCCCTATAGATTAGCTTGCTTGATGTGCAGCAGCAATATAGTAAGCAACCAACTGCAGCATCAAAGTCAAGAAAGTTCTAGTAGACCTCAGGCCTTCTTGGTGATCGTGTTGTGAGTGTGAATGCATTTAGTTTCTAGACGTCTCTTGATGCTCTTGCACATAGACTGGCCACGATGCTGGCAAATGTTTAACACTAATGGGAGGCTCATAAGACCAACTATATTCCTCATTCTGAGTCTGATTCTGCAACCCTTATTCACACAACCAGTCCCAGGTCAGTCAGTAGGACTACTGGTGTGAGGAAGGGATCTATGCGGTCCACAAAATACGTAGCTTCCTACAGGAAGATTAAGGGGGAAAAAGAGAGGATGGAAATTTTCCAAGGGTCTAAAATGGCCTTAGAATGGAAGCTGTCTGAAAAATTAAGCACAGAATCTGACCATAATATTAAAACTACAGGTTGCATTAGGTTATGGGGGGAAATGTCTTCGGGCTTGCAGTCATTTTTTAAAGTCCATTGCTTTTTCTTTGGTAGAAAGAAGTCTGAATTCCATTGTGCGAAACATGTAATTAAATCCTCGAATGCACATGTTGAGGGGAAAAAGTATCCTTGTTATGACTGCAAAAGCTACTTAATGTCTGAAGGAAAAATGGCTTTTATTGGCAAATTCCCGCTGCATACTTAAATGTCCAGTTGATAAAATTCTGCAGCTCAAGTGCTGCTTAACAGAAGACCATAAAATGATTGGTACTGTGGGGTTTTTACAGGGTTGGCTTGAGCATTAAGGCATGTAGGAATTGATCCAGCAAACTCTTACTCACCTAAGTAGCCCTTGCTCACAAGAATAGTTGCATTCAATTTAATTGGACTACTCAAGCAATGAGGACTACCTGTATGAACAAGGGCTTCCAGGACTGAGTCTTCAATTTAATCTCATTCTGGAACAGTTTTCTTCCTCATTGTTCACTATTACTTGCCGGGTCAATGGTAACACTGACTCTAGATGCATTTCAGCTTTTGTTCATGTGTTGGAAGAGGGATTTCAGTTCAGAACATGAGAGCCACTAGGCCAGATACTAATTTAACTAATAGTTGCTTTTGTTCATATGTATTAAAAGTGAAACAAGAAACGCCATATTTTTCTGTTTCTGAAAAGTTATAAATCATGAGCTTCTAAATCCTCAGCTGATATAAATCCATGTAGCCCATTGACTTCATCAGTTTACACCAGCTGAGGATGTCAAGTAATCAGAACTAACCTGCCCCAACGATGCTAAGCACAAGAAGAATCAAAATAGAACCAGAAATTTGTAGCCAAGGGCACGTTTCCCATTGATTGCAGTGAGCGTGCCTATATGAGTGAGTAGGAGTTGCAGGATCAGACCTCTAATTTCGATGGTGACTCATTTATGAGCCTCGTGCCTTTTTAAAATGAAGGTTATTTGGCTGGTTCTATGCAATGTGTAGCATTTTTGTGCAATGGCAAAAAGGGTTGCAAACCGAGGTCTAGACTGTGGTATTGAATCCCAGCCTTGAGGGGGGATGGTATGGACTGCACTGCCCCAGGAGGAACGCATGCTCGACATGTTGAATCATCGCTTGGGGTGGTGTAACCTGATCCCCTCCCAGCATACCCAGCCAGCTCCACAGGCTGGTTTGTATGTGGGAGAGCAGAGGCCCACCTCTTCTTGCCCCCTTTGGGGCAATTTGTGACTTCAAGGTGCATGAGGGAGCATTCCTAGTGCTCCCTGAGTATAGAGATAACAAATATCCCTGGCCCTTGCAAGGGAGAGAGAGAAGACTCCCACCTCTTTCTCCTGCAAGGATCAGACACAGTCTGGCCCTAGGTAATGAAATGAGAAAAGTTAAGATTCTTGAAAGCCATGCGTTTGTTTGGGCCCATCCATCTGCATTCAGAATCTGAATCTGACCTCAAACTAGTGAAGATCTAAAATCAAGGGAAACAAGGCAGCATTAGCAAAGCTCAGAGTACTGTTTCCAAAACAAAAAACACCCAAGTCCTAATATAGATGTGGGAGTGACATGATTCACCTAGTATTAAATCCATGTGGTCTGCATAAAAAAGTTATGGTGCATGAACCAACTAGAGTATATAACTGAACTCTACCCATGATCATTCATCCTGTTTTGTTACATGGTCATTGTGCATCATCTTAATGCAAAGTGATCACCCTCATTCCATGCAGAGAGAGAGTAAGAGGATGTGAACGCCATTCATGTTTAATGACCACCCCTGTGCATTTCTATTCTCATCCTAGGCAGCTACACTTTCTGGAGCCAATTTAACAACTGAGGTTTTCTACAAAAGCGGCCATGATTATAGGTTTATGTGCCATGGTAAGGATCAGACAGACGAAGGCTGCCAAAATTACCGAGTGCGGTTCCTGTGTGGCAAACCTGGTATGTGACTCACTTTTTAACGCCCAGCTGCCATGTCATTCAGAGCAGAAACCCCATTTTGAATTTTCCTCCTTCTGAGCTGGCTATTTTATAGGAAGCAGAACTTTGATACCAAACACAGTAATTCACTGGGGAAACCCTTTGATTTCCGTGTTGCATTCTTTGCTTTCTTCTGATGTCTGGGTCCCTGACTGAGCACTTAGCCACAGGTAGACAGGATGGGCCAAACCAGGCCTGTTGGAGCACCTCCTACTGATGTCAATGGGAGTAACCTCTACTTACTGTAGAACTGAATTTGGTCCAATGAGTTCCTCGAGCTGAGGTTTGGCTGGGATATTAGAGTCTTCAATAGAGTATCTCAAGAGATTCTTGAGCACTACATGGAATGATGTGATGGTGTCACCAAAACCCAGTAATACTGTACAGATACTTGGCAAGACCTGTAACAATCTCCATGCTTCCTAAAGCATTTCAAGATGGGGCAGGATTATTCCTTCAGCAAGCAAGGAGACTGTGTTTCATGCTAATGCTGTTGGGAAGCAACGTGTTTTTCAAAGTAATTATTTCTTTTGCAATTATTCATTTAAGCAATACCTGCCCTCATACTGGTCATTACGTGTGATTCTTTAACGCTCATTTAGTAGGGAGATAAAGATGGAAGGCAGTTATCTTTGTTGGGGAAAACAACAGTCATTATGTTAAAAAACCACTTCTGGGAGGTTTATTGCTACTGTAAATAACAGTGCAGCGCAACCATAACTGCTGGAGCTAAGTGGGTGTGGTGAGTTGAGCCACTAAGGGCTACATTTAAATTTAGTTAAATGGCTAGTGGAAAATCTATTTGCCAATAACTAATGAATAGGCCTTTTTTTGTTTGTTTGTTTGTTTGTTTGTTTTTCACAAACCAAATCTAACCAAGAACGTACTTGGGAGAGCTGTAACAACATTTTGTTGGTATCAAAAATGCCCAGAGAAGTTAGCGGACAATTTAAGGTTCAGTGAGCTGAATTCTCTGCCATCCCCTTTTTGCTTCCTAGTGAGACCAAAGCTGACTGTAAGCATTGATACCAACGTGAACAGCACAATCTTGAGGCTGGCAGATGATGCACGATCATGGAAGGCTGGAGATAGACTTGTTGTTGCCAGTACAGATTATTCCATGTACCAGGCGGAAGAATTCCAAGTCTTGCCGTGCAGAGCCTGTGGGCCTAATGAGGTCAAAGTATCAGGTGAGGATTTATCTTGTCATTCGCATGTTTCTATGGGCATATTCTTCTCTCCTTCATACCCAAGAAGCTCCATTTAAACCAAAGGTGTAGCAGAGATGTGAATGAGAGCTGAATTTGGCCTTCAGTTTGTTGATGCTATTGTGAAATCTGTACCTTTTGCTATCTGAAAATCACCTGACATCTGTAAGTGATGACAGTGCCTTCAGGTTTATCTGTGGGTTTTCCATCTTTCTTCCTAAGCATCCAGTTCTTGATCTTCTCTCTCAAGCACTTTGCAGGGTGGGCCTGAGGTTATAGGATTTGATGTGCTCTAGAAGAGGATCATCGTCTGAAAAGCATAAGATGAAGTCCTTTCTTATCAAAGGGAGAGGAGGAGCAGGTCATGAGAGATTTTTAGGGCTCTGTGTTATTGTAGAGTTGGTTATTTATGCCATGCAGATATATTTAGGCAGAAACACAGTATCCCATTTATAAAATACTACTCTGTTAAAACCATCTGGTTTTAGTATCTATATAGAGCACATGACATAGTGGAGATGTGTTAACTATATGTCCCTAAAGTCACATGACCAGCCATATAATCTCAAACCACAGTGCGTGAGTAAACCAGAGTTGCTGTAGAATGCTGAGTGAATTGATCTGAGGCAGAGGAAATGGGAAGGTGAGTGTAGTGATACAAAGTTTTTTTGTTGTTGTTTTTTTTCTCTTCTGGAGGACTAGCTCAAATCTGGAACAGGCTGCTGGAGGTGAAAAATCATTGTTGTCTAATTGTTCTTCAGTGGTCTTTGTGTTTTAAACCCAGTTCAAAAAATACAGCCACCACAAAGTGACACCTTATTGTCCATTTCAGCAGAGAGGCACAGATGTCTGGGAGAGATTTTTCCAAAACACAACAAATGGCTTTTAAATCTTCCCCTGAGCCTGTCAGGTCCTCTTTCCCTTCCAGAACTTGGTTTTGGCACATTGATGGGTAGTGTGGAGAAAGAGTGCATTAGCTACCCATTCTGTCAATGGACTTTCCAGTACCGTCCTTTACGACAACAAACATTAATGTAAAAAATGTAGCATAGCTGAATGCTTATGGTGGTAATTCAGACATGTTACATTGCCAATGAACTGCCAGTGTTTAAATAAGAGATAATAATAGTGAGTCAGATTCATCTGAGGAGAGATTTTTAACATACCCTTAATGTAAATTCATTTTGAGAAAACATACTCCCACTTCGAACAATCAGTGCACCAGACCGTTTGCTCAGCTCTGCGACATTAACTACTTCATGCATCATTATCTCTGATGCAGCCCTTTCTGAAGGATACAAGTGTTTCCTCCTGCACTGTGTTTTTGGAAGGGCTCTAGTCATTCATTGTTCAACAGGCAAAAAGAGGGATATTGGTTAAGCCAAAAACAATATTATTCTGACTTTGAATTCATAAGTCTTATGACTTAAGATGACCAGCACTCTCCCAGAGAATGTATCTACCAGCTGAGTATTACTCTCGTGAAACACTTGAGCTATTGGAAAAACTGCATCAATCTATAATGATACAAAGTACATTGTGAGAACAATCTTGGAAATAGTCAATAAAAATGAAGACCGCAGATTTCTAAGACTCTTCTTGTATCTTCCTGGATCTCTAAAATTTTTATAATTTATTTATATTCATCTTCTACAACAATTTCCATTGAGTTACTATTAGGAAAGTGAATAGACAGGGCGGGAAAAGAAGCCATGTGATTTCAAGTAGAGATCTAAGTGGAAATACTTGTTGAAGAGTTTGCGCTCTGTTTCCAATTAGTTGTTAGGAGAATTTGGACATCCCTTTTATTACCACAGATGACACACACTGGGGCCAAAGTCTGCCCTGACTTACACCCCTGCAACTCCATTGACGTCAATGGGATTTCCCTGGTTATATAAGTCAGGGCACAATTTGACCCAATAATAACTGCATCCAACTTTCTTGTAGCAAAATCCCACACACTAAAAATAAAATGGAAGAATCCTGCATGACTCTGACATAGTTCAGTCAAGTTGAAGGGAGTAATGTGAAAGATTGAAATCTCCTCCATCCTCACGAGAAGACAAGGAGGTCAAGGGAGTGTCCTGTAGACAATCAAGTTGGGACTTTCGCCTTGGGATCTCATTCCATTCTTCTCTGTGACTTCATAAGCAGTGGGCCTGATGCTGCAGCGCTTAGACAGGTGAACAGTCCCATTGTATCATATTAATATAACATGCAGGATTGGGCATTGAGTTATGTGCAGAAAAGACTATATATTTTTTTGTCTTCTTCCACGGTCTACTTCATTCTTCTCAGTTTTCCGTATCAGTTCCAGTGAAGGATCTTCATATAGAAAGATGTAAACGCAGTTTGAGTTAGGAACTGAGAGCTCCAAAAATCTGCCCATTGGAAATAACAAACAAATTATAAAAATAGCTCTACTCATAATAGGTTTTGTCCCCTTTAACCAGTTTGGTTTGTTGGTTTTTTTTTAATTAAACATAAATGTCAAGACTAAACTACTCAAGTGTCCATTTAACAATATGGCAAAATAATCCTCATGCTGTAAGGATTTTTGTGGAACATCAATTTGGCAGAGCAAAAGTCTAATTATAATCAGTGTTCCAATGTTTTAATATTTTAACAGATACAGCTTTGGATATTTTGCCAGATAAATTAAACTAGTTAGCCAGCTCATATACTATTTATATTTGACCCTTCCTGCTGAGAAATCATACTTGCTTTATTGACTAGAAGTGGCTTAAGTAGCAGTAAAAAGATGAAAATTAGAGCACGAAGGGTGGGATTTTTAAAAGAGCCTAAGGGAATTAGTTAGCCTACTCCCATTGGACTTCAATAGGATTTGGGTGCCTAATTCTCTCATGGTTCTTTATTTCGGCTGGAATTTTTAGCTAAAGCAGGTGCCTAAGGAACCATTCTTGCAAACACTTACTCAGGTGAGTAGTTGTATTGATTTCAAAGTTGTTACTTCCATGAGGCTCAAACTCAGAGGTCACCAGTCCCAGTAAAAATTTGTCATTTATTGAAATGGAACTCCTTCCCCCTCCCTCCTCCTTTTGTTTAACTGTCTTCGCTTGTCATTTTTATGTCTAGATTATTTTCTGTGAGGAAATGATTAAAACTGTTTGATGTTTTATCTCTGGACTCTGCAAAACTGGGGGAACACAGTGCAAGTCAGAGGAGGGAGAGAAGGAGGAAGGAAGGGTTGTGTTATTACAGTAGGATGGGATGAAAGATCAAGTATTTCTTGTGGTTTCCCCAGGAAACCAGTCTTATCTGTATCTTTGTGGCTGTATATGAAGTTACTAACAATGCTGATAAGTTTCACCGTGGATGGAATATACATGATGAAACAACCTTTTGTGCATATACTGTACTTGATAAAGCATGATTTTAAAAAAATACCCTACTTGTGGTTGGCCTAATTACTCAAATTATCCCACCCATTAGTAAATCTATGGTTACAACTGCATCTCACACACATCTAGAATCCAACTGGTATGATTGCAGAGACTGAATAATTGTGGAGTGTTACTGAGTTTGTTATCTGGTAATACTAAAATATGGGAGAAGAGCTTTAGAATTAGGAACTTACCTAAGAACAGATGTGGGGACAATTTCTCCATTCCAGCTCCGATACGTGAGTTGGCTTATTGATCTCTTCTACACTAAGCTAGTAGGAAAATTCTTGATCTCTTGTCTTCTAAAATATGCCAGATTCAGCCATCTCCTTAAAAGGTGTTGAGCCGGATTCTCCATTGCAGATATTTACACCAGGGCAAAGAGTGTGAAATGCTACCGTTCTTGTTTTGGTAGCACTTTGTACTAGCTTTGCCCTGTTAATGACTGCACAAGGTGCAGGGCAGTGTAGAGTCGAGGTCCAGGTTTGTTATATGCACCCAAAAGTTTAGGTGCTGATTTCAACTCTCCATACCTTCTACAGATGTGCACCGTTTAGCTTGGAAACCTCAGGAGTCCATGTTTCTTGGGGAATTTCTGGCACTGTCCGCTCTGGGTCAGGCAGGAAACATCACAAAAAAGGCCCTTTCTAGCTGTCTTTTGATGGTTCTTCCTCATGCTGCCAGACAATCGCCAGGGCTAATGTAAAGAAAAAACCCTTGAATAAATGTTAACTCAGCATTTCAAAAAAGGTGGGAACAGGTTTGATTTTTAGACATGGGGGAGAGGGAGAAATTCTTAATATTTCTCAATCAAAACTCCATCTTTTCCACCTCACACTCCCAATGCCAGGTACAAGGGGTTTTGTTTCAAGGGGAATTAGGGAAAAAAACAGGCTGTTCTCAAGAGGGAGGCATATTGGGTCATAGACAAGTGGGGCAAAAAACTACTATTTATAGGAAGAACTACCCTGTCAGATTTATTAGCTACAGCAGAAAGTACTAATGAACAATTACAGGCAATGAGATGAGCACTCACACATTTAACCCAACAATTGAAATTAATCCAATTTATTACAACTCTCAGGAGACTAAATTATTGCGTGCCACAGGCCGAGGCTAGAAAGCTCTGAGGTAGTGCCGGAGGCCCCTGCAGCATCCGGCAATTGATTAAGTGAGAGACTCCCAGATGATCCAGGCCCCACATTGCAGAGGATGGGGGGGAAAAATCCACGGTCATTGCCAATCTGACTAAGGGGAAAATTCCTTCCCAACTCCGAATATGATCAGTTAACCCCTGAACAGGTGAGGAAGAACCAGCCAATCCAGAACCTGAGAGAGAGAATTCTCTGCACCACCTCACATAGTGATTAATTGGTGCCAGGACTTGCCAGTTCCGAGCCCCGGCAATCGCTGGGCCTGGCAGTTCCGAGCCCCGGCAATCGCTGGGCCTGGCAGTTCCGAGCCCCGGCAATCGCTGGGCCTGGCAGTTCTGAGCCCCAGCAATCGCTGGGCCTGCCATGTCCGTTATGAAAGTTTAAAAAAAATTGCTTGAGCCCAGGCACCTCCTTCATTGCA